CTTTTAAGTACAGTATACAGTAGTTATAAGTGTTAAAAAAAAAAACCAAAAACAACAGGATGGACTTTCCTCCTTCCGCAAATAAATTCATCAGTTTCCTCTTAAACTACAAATATATAAAGGTGYTCTTGGGGAAAGACCGTGTCAGTGAATGAATCAAAGAATCCATGGAAATGTATAATTTGTTGGGTTTACTATACCGAAGCACTGATCAGTCTCAACCTCTAAACTGATTCAATTTCCCTGCAAGCACTGTGAAGTTAGATACAGTAAATAAACCTCTCTTTAACACACACCCTGACTTTCAGAGAGACAGGGGGGGAGAGGCAAAGACTGAGAGAGGGAGAGGGAGGTAGAGAGAGTGAGGTCTGACTTGCTTTAGTCTCTTTTCCTGCTCCTCGTGCAAGGAACCTCTCCCTTTCTATTTGGCTGAGCTCTGCATTGCAAAAAGCATCTGAAGAAATCTAATCATTACCTTCCACACACAGTACAGGAATTTACACGGATTTGTGCCTTGGATKTATTAGCTTATTGTAAGCCTTAAAACAGATTTCCTCCATTAAAATTAATTAAAAGCTCCTGTTGACTACTTCCCACTCTGAAAAGAAGGTGGAGAATCTTATTCTCTTAACTTTGCTGATTGTTTATTTATCTTTTATGGAGGTTTATATCATGTTCAAGAGAGGTCTTTTCAGCTGCTTGACTTCCTTTTGCGATCTGCTATTTTTTGTTCACACACCATCCCCACACACCCAGCCCCCCCGCAGTATTTGCTCTTATTTTGCCAGATCCCCGTCTAACTCGTCACCGGCCCCTTTGTATTCCGAAGTCCTGATCCGATTCCCTTCAGCTCGCCCCCACCCACTCACCGCCAGCCCCGCTCCGGAGGTGCTGGTGGGGATCTGATGGATCCTCCTGCCAGGCGCAGCTCCCGGCTCTCCCGTGGATTCCTCAACACTTGGCAGCGCCGAACTAAGCCTCTTCCAAGCAAGGCTCACCACTAAAGGTCCCGTTTCTCCGAACCACCTCCCAAGCAGAGGTGCTGGTGGTGCTSGCACCGGTGGTGCGCTGTGCCCGTGTCTCTGCCGCAGGGGTAGTGCTCGGCCCTCCCCTCCGCACGGGGTGGGGGCCAGGCTCGGCACCCTCCCGCTGGGCAGAGAAACGCGACCGGGGACCGGCACCTCTCCACAGCTGCCAGCTCCGAATCCCGCTCCTGAGCCACCCGCTGGCGCAAAATAGCCCGGGGACCCTGCTAGCACTCGCCGCCGGCCATTCATAAATCCGTACTTGTGTGTGCCCGGCGCCGCGGACGTGCGGCTCTAACGTGGCGAAGGCGGTGTTTCTGACACAGCCTGATCCCGGCTCCTCAACTTTGCCATCTGGGCRAAGGCAAAAGGCACCGCGGCTTTAGATCGCCCGGGGCTAGAATTACCAGCGAGGAAAAGAGCGAGAAATGAAATCCCAACTGTACCTGGCGGCGTCTGGGAATCCCTCGCCGGCACCGATCGTAATCCCCCTCCGCGCCTCTGGCCCCCCACACCAAAACTTTGCCGCCGCCGCTCCTCGGTGGTGGCCGCCGCCGCCCTCCGCCCGGCGCCGCTGCCGGCCGGCCCCGCGGGCCCGTTCCCCGCCGCTCCGAGCGACCCCCGCGCCTCCCGCGCCTTCCTCCGCCCTTACGAGGCGGCGGCATCGTCCTACCCCCTGCTCCGCCACCTCCTCCTCCGGCGCGCAGCCCGCGGCTCTGGCATTCCCAACGCACTTTCTCTCCTCGGTTCGCTCTCTCTTTCCCCCGCCGTTCCTCCTTCTCCGGTAAAAAAATAAACCAGAAGGGACCGCGGCTACTCTTGGTCTTGGGGTTTCTTTCTTTCTTTCTGTTTGGTGGTGTTTTCTTTTTTTTTTTTTTTTTTTTTTTTTTTTTTTTTTTTTTTTTTTTTTTTT